AGGCTCAGAGGGGTTAAGTGTCTCACCCAGGCTTATGCAGCTGAAAAGCTAGAGGATGTGGGTTGAAACCAGGTCACTCTGGTGGTCTCAGGGCAGAGGTCTTTCAACAAGACAATAGCTAAGATGTTTGAGTACCACCTATGTGGCTGACCTTGTGCTGAGCTATAAATATGTCTTTTTATCTGTCTTCACAACCACATTACACCTGGGGAAACTGAGGCACAGAGCCATTATGGCAACTTGTCCGAGGTTCCATAACTTGAAAGTTCAAGGCCATGAGAGGCACACAGGCAGTTGACCCCAGGCCTTGCACTTTTGACTACAACGTCAGGGCAGCCACATGGAAGGCCTCTGTTTAGTTTTCTCCCCATCCACTGGGACATAGCAAATTGTTTCAGTGACATGGTCTCAGTTATTAGGGTAGAAGGACATTTTAAATTTTTCCAATTTGAGTTAGGAAGGGATTCAGAAGAATCTTTTCAAAATAAAAGCTATTGATAAATGCTTCTGAGATTATAATTAGAGGTTGTGTGCTAAACATGATTTGGGCCCCAGACAAGTCAGAGAAACCTTCATGTGGTCACAGGCCACAAAAGGGGGAAGGCGTCATGCTGTGTTATAACCACATAGTAGGGTTCTTGTCTCCGTGCCTCCCTCCCTCTCTCTGTCCCTCTCTCCTGGCCTCTCGTCTCCCTCCCTTCCACTCAGTTGATTTTTCCTAGGGCATGGGACGTCTGGCACTCTGTGAGGCACTGGGGTTACAACAGGAACAACACAGGTTCTTTTCTGCTCCAGAACACCTTCTAGTCCAGCAGGGAAGGAAGGGGCTACACAACAATTACCAACTCAGGGATTAGAGGAACACACCAGGAACTCTGTAATACTTGGGCATCCCACCAAGTGGACAAACCCAGTGGCAGAAAGATGCCTCCTGGCCCCTGGCACAGATGTCACCAGGCCCATATGGCTGATGCATGGCTGCACTCTGAATCACTCTGCTCTCATTTTATACAGATTTCTAACAAGCTTGGGTGTCTTGTTTCCCAACCAAGATGTCATATCAGAAGAAGCAAATCTTCAAAATGTGTGGCATCAAGAGAGAAGACAACAATCCTAGAAACAGTCTCACTGTTAACAGCGAGGTCGGTGGGAGATTGATGTAAGCTGAGCAGTTGCCAATTATGAGACATTCTTCATACATAATTTTGTATAATCCTCATAGCAATTGTGCAAACTGACTATTATCATCCCTATTTTTCATAATGGAAACTGAGGCCCAGAGAAGTTAGTAGGATGGGGTTCTTGTGTTCAAGAAGAAAGAAATCCAGAAGAAGGAAGGGCAAGATAAGAGTCCCACTATAATCCTCGGCATTCCAGAAGATTCAGGAAGGTTCCAGAAAGCTAAGGTGTCCCTGAACTGGGTTTGACAATTGGTTTTGAACCAATTTTCACCAAGGACTTGGTAGAAACAGAGCTCTCCCTGTCCCCTGTCCTCCTCCTACTCTACTCTTCCCCAAACATTCCAGTGCCTACCGTGCGTCACTGCCTGCTCGGGATGCTGAAGACACGTCACTAACACTAGCCAGGGCGAGGGAAGGGGCAGTGGAGTTGTATCAGCCACAGTGGCCACCCCAGAGGAAGGGCTGGGCTTTGCCACAGGGAGGCTCCTTCATGCTGGAGAGAGATTGACACACAAGGTCTGGTTTTCATGCAAAGGACAAACTGCTCAGGAGCAAGGCAGTTGCCTAAAATAAGTAATTTAAACTGACAGGTCTAATTTTAGGGAAGGGAATTTGAAAGCTATCGTGAGAGGCAGGCGGGGTGTGGGGAGTGGGGGAAACCAATCCAACACGAAAAAGGAATTTAGAAATAACTAAATGTTGTTAAATCTGACTTTTGCTTGTTTTCTAAAGTATGACAAAACCAGTCCTTCACTCATTAGCATAAATATACTGAGCAATAGGTAATATTTGCTTAATGGAGGGGTTCTCTATGGGGGCCAATTTTGCCCCCAGGGGACGTTTGGCAGCATCTGGAGACATTTTTGGTGATCACAGCTGGTGGGGCAGGCTGCTGGCATCCAGTGGGTGGAGACCAGGGACGCTGCTGAAGACCCTGCAGGGCACAGAATAGCTCCCCTCCCCAACAACAACAAATTGTCCAGCTCAGAATGTGAAGAGCCCTGAGGCTGAGAAACCCTGCTTCATTAAAAGGTGTCTGGACCACCCAGGACAGCGCACCTGGCAGCAGGTGTGAGTTTGGCAGTGCAGGTGCCACCTCCTGGGAACTTGGGCAAGTCCTTGACTGTCTGTAAGCTGCAGTTTCCTCATCTAGGAAATGAGGACGGTACCGCCCACCCTGCAGAACTGTTTGGGTCTGGAATAAGGTGATGAACAGTGAGTGAGGCGTCTGGCAGTATTTACAAATGTCTCAAACAACAATCTGTCCCCCAAATAATTTCTGGTGAAACTAGAGGGGCAAAGCAAGGTTTAAAGGGCATTTAAAGTTTTTGATCCATGTTGGCTTTCTTCCTCGGTCTCATGAATTTGGATTAATACCACATGTTCTCACTCATATGTGGAAGCTAAAAAAGTTGATCTCATGGAATTAGAGAGTAGAGTAGTGGTTGCTGGAGTCTGGGGAGGTTGAGGGCGAGGAAGGGTAGGGAGGGGTTGGTTAAGGGATACGACATTACAGCTAGACAGGAGGAATAAGTGCTAGTGTTCCATAGCACTGTAGGGTGACTGTAGTCAATAATTCACTGTATTTTTGCAAATAGCTAGAAGAGAGGATTTTGAATATTACTAACATGAAAAATGGTAAAGACTGGAGGTGATGAATATGCTAACTACCCTGATTTGATCATTATATGTTGTATGCAGGTATCAACATATCACATTGTACCCTATAAGTACATATCGTTATTAAGTGTCAATTTAAAAAAATAATTTCTTTAAAAGGCAGCAGGTGTAGTGGGAGAGCCTGGACAGTCGGGCTGTGATACTGGCGTTTGCCACTAACCAGTGTGTGCGTATCCCTTTGTACATAAAATGGAAGAAGTAAGAATTGTCGCAGTAGCGGCCTGGGAATGGCCTGGGAACACAGCCTGAGAGACATACTTGGGGATGCTCTGAGGGGGCCTTGGGAGCCTCTCTACTCAGGGCTCCAGCACCCAGACCTTGGGTCCAGGCAGCTGGGGGCTCAAATCCCCTTTCTACTATTTCACTTTATGACCTTGGAAAAGTGTCTCAACATCTCTGTGCCTAACAGTGGGGCCCGACTCACAGGGCTGCCATGGGGACGACTCCTGGTCCACACCAACTGCTGAACACGTGCAGGTTCTCACTGCAGGTTCCCAGTCATGCCGAGACAGGAAGGCAGGCCTCTGACTCTGGGTCCAGAGCTCTTTGCTCTGTGTCAAGCAAAGCATGCCTAGCTGGAAGTATTATTCCCAACTTAAAGGTTGAAAATAATCATCACAAGCAAGACAGAACACTCTGAAGCTGAGACCTTAGCACTGCTGGCTTTGGGAGCAAATGAGATGGTTTTTCCCATCATTTACTTATGCAGCAGGGCTTGTGGATACACCCTAGTGGAATTTATAAAGTTATATTGGGTATGCAGATGGGAAGATTAGGTCCCAGTGGAGGAGAGAATTCTGTTTAGAGATGTCATGGTTCCCCATCTAAATGCCTCATTACGTACAGATTCCGGAGGTCTTTCAGACTCCATGTGCTAGCTCTGAGAGATGGTATACTTTCCCTTTCTACTTTTGCAGAACGAGTCTTGAGACCATCTAGTATGACCTTGGTCTTGTCAAGAGGGGGAAACAGTAGGACTTGTCAAGGTCACTCCATAGGATTTGGCAGAGCCATTGACCCAGGTATCTCCTCATTCTGCTTTAACCAAACCAAGAAAAAAGGTAGAAACAAGTAAGTAGCAACATGACCTCACTTTGTCCCAGTGATTCTGCAAATAAAATCAAGAGCTGTTGAAATGAGGGCACAGCACCAGTTACTACACCAGTAACTTTCTGTAGTGTCCTTTCCCTTCTCCAGGCAGGTGCTGCCGTCTTTCACTTCACCTCGCCTAGATACCCAAACACTCTCTCTGTGGACAGAGAGCAGGTGCTGGGCTCAGGCTCATTCAGTATAAATGCAGGGCTCTTTTACCTGGGGCTCTTTTGAAGGTCCCTGGCAGGCACCCCTTCTCCCCCACTCTGGGCTCAGCCACACTCCTCCCAAGCTACCTGAGTGACCTCAGAGGGAGTCGAGGCTCCTCTACACACCCCTGCCAAATGGCTGGCCAGCCTGTTTGCACAACGTCATACATGAGCTCACCACCCCTGGAGGCAACCCGCTGCATTCTCTAGAAGCGACAAGAATGATAATGACCCAGAGTCTGCCTCCCTATTTCTCAAATTCAGGAATTCTACCTTCTGGAGCCCTCAAGAGAGAAGGGACAGCTGCATCCATTGGAGGGCCTGGGAATCTCATGGACAGACCGTCTCTGACTTCCCTGTCCACATGAGCTCAGGCCCCACAACATCCTTAGTTAAGCCTTGAGGTTTTCTCAGGCCAAAGTCACATGTTGAAGCCAGCCCAGCCAAGAGTACTTAAATCATCTCAATGGCTCTCACTGTGACTTCCTAGTGACCCACTGTATTGAGAGGTATGGCTGTTAAGTATCCTTAGGGATAAATCGTTATAATGATACACAGCACCGATTAAGGGTTGACTCTGTGCTAGCTGCTGAACTGAACACTTTGTGGATTACCTCTTTCCATATTATATCATCCCATTCTACAGATAAGGAAACTGAGGATCAGGTGAGTGGCATGGTTGCCCAACAGCACAGAATTTGTGGAGGTTGGCAGAGCTGGGATTTGAGCCCAGGCATCCAGGGCCCAAGCCCTGAACCACCCCACCCTCCGGCCTCCCTCCGACCTCCCTACGGTTCTTCTGCTTGTGCAGGATGCCCTGCTGGGGCCCAGTCCTCACCGCGTTGAGACCACAGAGCTGGTAGCAGGCCATGGTGATGACCACAGTGACAATCTGCCAGCGGACGGAGGGAGCCCTCAGCAGCTCCAGGACAGACACGAGGCGGATGTTCCTCTGCATGTAGCTCTCAGCCAGGATCTCTTCCATCTCTCGGGAGACATCTGCTTTGCCCAGGAATGTCTGGAATGCTGCAAACAGGGAAAGCATGGACTCTCAGCATGTTTACATTAGGATGTTTGCCACGGCTAATGCTGGGCAGATCTCTCCACTCAGACACGTACCTAGTCAGAGCATAGAGCTGGCCAGGGCCTTTGAAACCATGGAGTCCAAAGCCCTTCTTTAAAAATGGGAAGACTGAGGCCCAGCCAGATGCAATGACTTGCCCCAGGTCACCCAGATGGCTGGGAGAAAAACCGGGAGGAAACCTGGGTGCACTGATTGCCCCCATGGCAACACAGACCATGCCTAGGGTTCAAATCTGTGTCTGCCATTGGGTGTTTGTGCCTTCATTCATCTTTTGTAATTGAGTCTGCCTGCCGGGACTGTTGGAAGGATTGCATGATATCATACACATTAAAGTCTGGCTCAGAGCTTCCCACACAGGAGGCGCTCCTTTGAGGAATGTTCTTTGAGCACCTCCTGTTTGCTGGGCCCTCTGTGCTCATGCCCATTGGAGGTGTCCACAGGGAGGTCAGATACCACTTGGCCAGGATGCCCTGGGTCAATTCTATCATCACCAGGAGGATTGAACTTAATGACCTTCAAGTCCCTTTCCATGGACCCTCTGAAATACAGAAACTTTGAGAGGAGCTGCCAAGAGCTAACTTTCACGGGATTCAAACTCACTCTTGCAATTTATGCCTTTTCCAGATTAAACACTGTATATTTCCAGCCTCAGAGAACCTGTCATGTTTTACCAAGACCTTAACTGTATAAACTCCACAGATGTGTGCATGAAGGTGGGCTGAGTAGACCCCTGAGACCATAATCATTAGATCAAATTAGAACATGGATTTAAATATTCAGGGCTCTGATGCCCTACCTCCTACAGGGAATGGTGACTATGGTGATGGCTCCTGTGGACAGTCCATTCCAGGCACGGTGGACACTTATTTAAAACATAGCTCTGCACCACAGGGTATGTAGAAACACTCTTCTTAAGCAGCAAGAAAAAAAGAAAGAAAAAGAAAAAACTGTTAAATTTGCTCTAGATTCTTCAAGAAGAAAGCACATGAAGGCCTTGGAGTGTTATTTCCAGCAGGGTATCGAAAACGGGTTCAGAATGTCTGTTTGTGAGCTCTGATTTAATGCTTTTCCCAGCACTTATTAAGGGTGAATGAGAGAGGTGGCTGGATGAGTCATGTTTCTGTGTCATGCACTGAACCGCAGTATTTCTAATGTTTCCTCAAAGTTCAAAACACAACATCCTTGTGATAAAATAATTCTAGAGCCTTGGGGCAGGAAAATATTTCTCTCCCCTCCCTGATATACATATTTTCCATTATTAACAAGGAGAACATTATAACCTTTACCCCCTCTTTTCACCTTGGTTGCCAGGAAGCTCTCGGACAAATTTAATGCTCAGCCCTTAACAAAATTTCCTGGAACAAAGATCTCTCATCTTCCCCTTAAATGTTCTGATCTTCTTTTAAAGCACCCACTTAACTTTCCTGTGGCACAGATGTTCATAAACATACTTTGTTCAGCATGCCCCACCCCTCCTTACGGGGTTCCTGTGACTGGGTGAGGAAGGGTGTCTTGTGTGACCAGCATGGCAGACGTGGGGCTGCGTTGCTCAGAACCCCTCGGGAGTGAGGTTAGTGGGCAGCCTCATGCTCTTAGCTGACGGAGAGTCCTCTACAAGGTGATGCTGTTCTCAGAGTGGCCCCCAGCCCATGACTGAACCAGGTGGTGATAAAGGACCCAGCCATTTCTGCCCAAAGAGGGACTCCTGTCATGCATGAGTATCACTCCAGAGCTCCCCACTGCACCTGCGGAGGCTTTGCCAGGTGCAGTGTGGCCTGATGGCTCCCCCTGTCCAATTCTGCTCTTGTCCATGTCCTTTCCCAGCTGCTACTCCCCAATGAGACTTCTGCACTCCCAACTCATTCTCAGATCTCCTGGAACCCAACCTGCAAAAACTAATGACTTGACAGGGCGAAGTAATCCATCCACTCAGCTCTATTTTCAACTTGTGAAGTACTGAGCTGCTTCGGTTCTTACCACCCTCCCCTGATCTATTGCCATAGTCTGTTGACCGCCACCTGGGTCCTGACTTCCCATGCCCTGCTGAGCTCCTACCGTAACCCTGCTGTCCGTGCTGTGGTGTCAGCCATGTGTCACACCATTTCATTGCTCCTGAAAAGACGGCCTGAGCTCCCAGCTGTGTCTGGAATGAAGTCTGGGCTCCATAGCCTGGCCCGTGGCTCTCCTTCAGTGTCATCTCCTGCTGCTTCCATCTCTGCGTGCATCTCTCTGGGACTTAAAACACTGCATCGTCCTTTCTCGCTTCTCTACAATTGGCCACATGATTCCCTCTGCAGGGGAGGCTCTCCTTACCTTTCCTCACCTGGCTAACTCTTCCTTGTTTCAACACCCTCCCAGACAGCCTGTCCCTCACCCATAGCCGCAGGGACAGGAGAGCTGCCAGGTCCCCCTGGACCCTCATCCCCCATGCTTTCCCATCTCGGCACTTCCTCCCTGCACTGTCAATGGAACTTCATCTCTCCACTGGCTATGAGCACCTTGAGGACCTGGCTCCTGTGCCTGGTAGAGATCAGATGCCAAGTTGGTGTTTGTTGATGTGAACTGAACCGACCCAGGTGGCAAACCAAGTCCTTTCCCTTAAAGCAGGGGTTCCCCACGTCAGCACTGTTGACATCTTGGGCAAGATTACTCTTTGCTGTGGGCTGTGCTGTGCATTGTTGGATGTCTGGCAGTGCCCCTGGCCTCTGCCCACCAGATGCCAGTAGCACCCCCTCGGTTGTGGCAATCAAAAATGCCTCCAGACATTGCCAAATATCTCCTGGGGATGGGGAAAAATGACCTCTGGTCAGAATGATTGCCTTAAACAGAGTTCTAGGTTCCTGGCTCCTCCCAGGAGGGTCTCATAGCAGCACACGCGCCTCCCACCCCCTGCAGCCCCTCCCTCTTCTCCCTTTTCAGCGCAGGACAGTCCTGCAGGGCCCTGGCTCAAGGGGGTCACCCTTCTGTTTCCCTGATTACCAAATAAGTCTGTCCCTCTGCGACTCCTCCTCTGTACTTGTGATTACACCTAACAATGGCTCTGTTGGGATTTCTACTTATGGTATTTTATTTTATTTAAGGAATTTATTTTTTAATTAAAAAGTACTGATCGTACATATCTATGGGGTACAGAGTTATAGTTCAATACATGTATACAATGTGTGATGATCAAACCAGAGTAATTAGCATATTCATCATCGCAAAACTTTACCATTTCTCTGTGATGAGAGCGTTTGAGCTCCTCTCTTCTAGCCATTTGAGAACATACAATAAATTACTGTTAATTATAGATGCGTAGTACCACTGTACAGCACTGGGACTTATTTTTCCTGCCTGGCTGTAATGTCGTGTCCATTGACCAACCTCTCTCTCGCTGTCCCCCTCCCCTCCCCTTCCCAGCCTCTAGCAACCCTGGTTCTACTCTCTACTTCCAACAGTTCAACTTATTTATGAATTTTTTTTAGCTCCCACATGTGAATGAGAACATGTGATATTTATCTTTCGGTACCTGAGTTATTTCACTTAACACAATGTCTTCCAGGCTCATCCATGTTGCCACAAATGGCAGGATTTCATTCGTTTTTATGGCTGAGTACTATTCCATTGTGTATATATATATATATATATTGCCTTTTCTTTATCCATTAATCTGTCGATGGACACCTGGTTGATGAGTGTGAATACTGCTGAAATAAACATAGAGGCGCAGCTATCTCTTCGGTATGCTAATTTCCTTTCTTTTGGCTAGATACCCAGCAGTGGGATTGCTGGATCACACAGTAGTTCTATTTTTAGTTTTCTGAGGAACCTCCATACTCTTTTCCATAATGCTGTACTAACTTACATTCCTACCAACAGCGTAGAAGAGTTCTCCTCTCTCCACCTCATCACTAGTATTTCTTATTTTTGGTCCTTTTGATAGTAACCATTCTAACTGGGGTAAGATGACAGCTCATTGCAGTTTTGATTTGCATTTCTCTGATTCTTGGTGATGTTGGGCATTTTTTCCTACACCTCAGGCTTGATGTGGGTCCATGTGATAATTTAGTGTCACAACACCTGCGAGGCTCACTTGCACCTGTGACCTGGTTGTGCAAGAGTGTGATGTGGCAGCTGAGAGTGCTGACTTGGGGACCACTCTCCCTGGGTTCAAATCCTGGCTGCACCACTGGCCACCAGGTAGAGTGCCAGGTGAGTTAAATATTTCTGTGCCTCAGTTTTCTCATCTGTTTTTACATTTTAGCATTGAGGTTGTCACCGGTGTTAAATGCTAGCACACATGAAGTTTTTAGAACAGTACCTAGCTCTTAATGAGCTGTGAGGGCTATAAATATGTTAACTATTACAGCAGGTACTTGCTACATTCTCTCCCAACCCATTTATTCTTCTCACTTTTTTCCTTCCTTTTATCTTTAGCTGGACAATGGGCACAAAACACTATAACCTTCTGTTGTACGTTGGATTGTATCCTCATAAACAAATGTTAAAGTTCTAACTCCTGACACCCGTGAATATGAACTTGTTTGGAAATAGGGTCTATGCCGACATAATTAAGATGTAAGTTAAGATGAGGACACACTAGAGTAGGGTGGGCTCTTAGTCCAATATGACCCTTGTCCTTTTAAGAAGAGGAGAGCCACAGAGACAGACACACCCAGGGAAGACGACCATGTGATGACAGAGGCAGAGACTGGAGCAATGCATCTGTAAGCCAAGAAATGCCAACGATTGTTGGCCACCCCCAGAAGCTAGGAGAAGGAGTGTGGCCCTGCTGACACCTCGATTTTGGACTTCTGGCCTCCAGAACTTTGAGGGAGCCAATTTCTGTTGTTCTAGGCCACCTGATTTGTGGTCCTTTGTTATGGCAGCATACACACTTTATCACCTCCTTTAGTGTTTTATCACGTCCTGCTGAGTAAAGCACAGAAGGATCTGGAGGCTT